GACAAAGCTTTTATCATGTGTATATATTTGATATGACAAGATTGGGGTTTTGGATTCATGCAGAAGACAGGGGTGGGGTCAAAACAGGAGAGACAGGCAAGGCTTTGGCATGAACGCTGGACATTTACCAACACAAAGGTTTTCAATAATCTGGCACTGAAAGACTGTGAACATGGATCTTAAGTAGTGAGCAGAACAGGTGCGTGGAATGAGAGCTGATTGCTGTGGAGAGGCAGTGTGGGCGTGGTGAGAGGTGGCAGAATCAGAATATGAGAAACAAAACATGAAGAGTGATCAGAGACAGGAAAAAACAGGAGCTGTGGCATGACGGGGCAAAACCATGGCATGTGAGGGCAGAAACATGACAAAAATAAAATTATAAAATGTCAATAAGACTATAAAACGTCTTCTTCATGCAAAGACGAAAGGAATCAACATTAAAATGTTGTCAAATGTACTAATACTTTTGGCTGCTAAGAGTCTATAAGCCAACAATAACGTCATCACCTCCTCTAACATTTCTGGAACATTCACAATGAGGAACAACTGTGTGGAAATCTCACCAACGTTACAAGCAGTACGTGTCATCTTTGAGTAGTTTTAAGCTCTACCAGAACCCAGAACTGAGCACAGAAGGCTCAAGAGGCAAAGAAGTAGTAAGTTTATTTACAAGTTGGAGAAGACGGCAGGGGACTGGAAGATTTTGGTTTTACAGGTCTTAATGTTTGAAGGAGTTCCAGAAAAAAATAAAATAAATAAATATATATATATACATATGTATATATATACATATGTATATACATATACGTATATACGTATATATATGTATATACATATATACATACACACATATACACACACACACACACACACACACACACATACATTTTTTTTTATTTTATTTTTTTTTCTCTTTCTTTTTTTTTCTTCATCTTGGACAACAGGATCTCGCCTCGAGTTTTCCACCAAATGATAAACTTGGATTAAAGTTCTCAGTCATTGCGATAGACTTCTGTCATCTGTAAAAAATGAAGGGGGGACATGTGCTTTGTTGCAGTCTGTTTAAAGCCATCCAATCTAATAATGATACAGGGATTAAACAAAGAGAACCAGAGCCTCTGTTTTAGAGAGGGACCGCAGGTGAGAGCACTGGTCAGTGTTTCCTGTAATACAGTATTTTCCAAGGAGAATACCCCACTACTTGAACCAAGGTGATGACGTAATAAATTATTAAACATATGTGTTCACATGTGACCAATTCAAAGCAGCCGTGGGAGATACCTGAACTGATACACCATCACCCCCACCCCATCCTCCCGCACCATGCTCTGACCTCACCAGGACTTTTGTATCTAAAGTCTAACTTTGTGTTAAAAGTTAATGTGTAACACTGCAGTATACTGTGTGATTGTACTGTCATGTACACAGTTTACTGTGTACTTTTATTAAGGTCATGTAGACAGTTTATTGTGTACTTTTACAAAGGTCTTGTACACAGTACGCCTCTTTACGTGAAAGCCTTTGAGAAGTTACCTGGATTCAGGAAAAAGCTCTTGAATGTGAAGAGATGAGGAGGAGAACGAGGAAGTTCCACTCGATCAGCTCCTGAAACAGTCTGCCACTCAGTAGCTTGGACATTCTAAGCAATCTACAAGATGGCTGACTGAGAACATTTGTATATAGTAAACTTTGTGTATATTGCAATATACTTATTAAATTACATTTTTCTTGAGATTTTTTGCCTTCTCTATTTTAAGGGTTGCAGACAACCAACTTCTCTATTTAGCAGGCAGTGGCCATCTTGGATTTAGACGTGGCAACCCAATTTTCAAAAGGAACCTTTCTTATGCCTAGATGCAGCCATACCAAAATGGAAATTGGTACCTCTCACCTACAACATGCATGTATGTACGAGCGGGCAAGGTATTTCCATTTCCCCCTTTTTGCACCGCAAGAGGAGACAATAAAATCCTTAAGATCAACTGAAGTTACATTATAAGGAACTTTGCTGGTAGTATCACTTACAAGAGACTAGTTTGTTTTATAAAACAGCACAAGTTGCTCATAACAGAAAACTGAGACAGAAATAAGAATAAAAATCTACAAGATAAAATAAATATGGGCTATGAACCCTCTATAATGAAGATACCCTTTAGAGTCTGAATTTCTGACAGTTTGCAGTGCTAAAACCAGATCTGGAGACCTTTTCCTCAAGATGTAAATAATCCTTCTAACCTTTGGAGTTAATCAGAACAAACACCAGCTGCCAGCCAAAAGCGCTGTTGAAAGACAAATAATGTATTTTGAATATTATAATGCTGAAGCATAAACATAAGAAGAAAATTCATATAATTTGTAGCATCCTCCTGTAGTAATGTTTTGCACACACTTGCAAGTGATTTTTTTTCACCAGTCACCTAACTGCTACGTTTCCATCTCAACAAATGGCACCAGTTTTGCTTGTAAAGAACCTCATCCGAGGTAGAAGAAGTATGTTAAGAGTAGTCAGTCTTATCTGCAGTAAGCAATTAGTTTAGAAAATCAGATGGAAACTCAGAGAAGGGTCAATTTAAGAGCAAATTTCTACCATCTAACACAACAAACTCAAACTTTACCATCAGTTTGACCAAATGCTGCAACAGATCTTGTTACATGTTATTTGTAAACTCATTATTTTCTCAGCCAAACTACACCCACTTTGCTACACAGCTCAGGCAGGTAGTTGTGTCCTGCTGTGAATTAACAATAACATTTGTTTCTAACCCTGAAACAACAACTACAATAAATACATTAAAGTTAAATAAATGCAACATGTCTTTTTTTGAGGAGCTAAGAGGAAAAGGCAGAACACTAATTGTAGCAGAGTAAACTCCATCATTGCAGAGCATGCAAAACTACCAAGTACTCATACAAAATTAAATGTTTTTTAGATACTCATTTTTTTCTCTCTTTTTCCTTCTTTTTTTTCCCTTTTTTCTTTTTCCCCTTTTTCTTTCTCTTTTCCTTTTTCTCTCCTTTTTCCTTCTTTTTTCCCTTTTTTTCCTTTATTTGCTCTTTTTCTTTTTTTTCCCTTTCTTAAGGAAAAAAAGGAAGAAAAAAAAAAGGAAGAAAAAAAAAAGGGGGGGGGATACATATTTTTAAAAGAACCTGCACTGTTTTTTCATTTTGTTGTAGTTTAAGGCTCCAGTATACTCCCGCGTCCTATCAGCCACATGGAAACTGTGTGCACTGTCTGCAGAGGGTTGAGATTTCATGCTCAAGTGTCCACCCTGAGCAGCTGCAGAGCAGCTCCTCAGACAAGGGGCGTTTACCTTCGGGACAAATTGAGGTCACTGATTGGTCATTTGCTGACACGACTACTGGATTGATTGACAGGTTGAAAGAAAAAAAAACAAGAGCTGGCAGCTGAAGCCGCAGCGGTGTTCAGTGTTTATATGTTGTTAATAAAAAGTTTGAACAAATAAAAAAACAGGGAGCACTGGCCCTGAAGCCCACACATCAGAGTGACCCACACATCAGAGTGGCCCACCAGGAAATCTCCAGACCCTCCCGCAGCCACGCTGGACCTGATTTTAATTCACTCGTGACAAATTCCTTCATTTCTCACCATTTCAGTCATGGCATCAACGGAGGAGGAGGAAGAGATCGCTTGCCTTTTGGCAAAAAAATAAAAGAAAAGGGCAGATCAGGGATGAAGAAGGGGGATTTAATAGATTGGTGTCGCATACAAAACAGTCCGTCGCCGGGCAGTTTATTGTGCGACACCTAGTACGCGTACGCGGTCGTAAAAATTGAGCTTCCATGCCCTGCAGGCGTCTGGTTCGATTCTAATCAGGTATGCGCGGACCTGAAGTATACTGGGAGCTTTAGACAGAATAGTTTTGTTGTTATTATATAAGAAGTTACAATTAGTTTGAACTGGACTTTTGAAAGATAATTGACATTTAACTGTATAAAGATAATAAAGATGTATTGTTGTCGGTTTGGAAGGAATAAGGTAAGAAAAATAGCTGAGGAAGAAATGGGGGAAAATACCAGAAATTAAAGAGAAAATTTAAAAAAAACTTAATGAATATGACCCTTTTTTTGTTGTTGTTGTTGTTGTTCAAAAGCACAAATGATCTTTTTAAAAAACTGAAAAAAGTAAAGGGCAATAAAGGTTCACAGTAGTGTTCAGTTTGAACCACAGACTGTTTTCTTTAATGTGCTGTTTTAAACACACTCGCATTTCTTCAAGGAGAAAGAAACATTTCCATCCCAGTACTCTTCCTCCAGCCCTACTCAGGGTCTCAGCATCCTACTGCAAATGAAGAGAAGGAGACTGATTAAGAGCATAGCACAGTTTGTACGAATTGGTCTCACCTTAATGTTGTTGCATTCAAAACTTCATTTTGTGCTTTTTGAAGTACCGATAGTTCATTGTAGATGTTGAGGTTTGACTGAGAGTATCATTGGAACATAAGAGCAGCTATTCATACAGTGGGATGTCTGAACCACATTGTTACTATTTAACGATAACACAAATGTGGAGTCCATTTTTCTTCAATACATAAAATGATTCCCACATCAGTGGCTGCAAAAGAAAACCCCACAGCATGAGTAGTCCACCTCTGTGCTAAACAGCTGAAGAGGATCCTGCACCATCTCAACTCTACCGAGTGCATCACATTCGTTTATATTTACTGTCAAATATTTGAAGCAAAACTTTAAGACTTTAGGGTTTTCTTTTGGTGGAACTACGCAATGCATTTTTATTATTATTGAATAGATTCCAGTAAAGATTAACTGTGTCTCCAAAGTCTGCTAACAGTCTTTTATTATTTTATTTGATATTTTCACAAAACCATTTAACTTTAAATGAGTTGTTGGTGAAAAATTTCTGCTATGCATCAAAATGAGTCGGGGACTGATCTTATGCCTTCAATCTGATATGCACAGGTATTTTTTTATTTATTTAAAACAAAACAAAAAATAAAGTAATTATTTAACAAGTATCATACCATATACTGTCCAGGACTTGGGGTTTCTTCTGATTTCTTGTTGTAGAAGATGGAGATACGCTGAGAAGAGGATCCAAAGCCTCCTTTCCTCATTTGCCCTGATTGTGCCTTTTTAAAACTTTCATTGGCTAAACCATGTTCGAAGATATTATAGGAACCTGGACCTGCACAGAACGTAGACAGAGGTCATCGTGAGTGTTTCTGTGAGAAGCTTGTGCATTTACATAACTGCAGTAAATGAGATGTATGGAATATAGCAAACTATCTAGCCATAATGAGCCACTTACAAACAATTTATGTACTTTTACTTTGTATGTCCTTCTACATTCGAGAAGGGCCATAATATTAAGGAAGGGTACAGGGAGGAAAACTGCAATTCAGAGGGTGAAATGTGTAAAATTTAATGGTTTAGAATTTACTAGGGATGAAGAATAATGGATTTTTGGCTGATAGTCGATATACCGATGATAAAACTTATTTGGCCGATAACCAATACCAATACATTTTTTTTTTCCTAGACCTACTTACAAAGACTACAAAGCTTTCTCTGCTGTGGAATTAAAATACTACATTATTCTGCATGGTCATCAATTTGGCCTGCTACTAAATGCAGATGCCAAAAAGAGGACTGCAAATGATGAAACACTTCAACTTGGATTACTTTTAATGTCAAATTTATTGATGACATTTACTCTCTCTAACACAGTGACAGCACTCAAACAGTGTAACTTTGTAAATTTTCACAAATCTAAACTCAACCTGTTCACAAGCAACAAGTGAAAAGCGCATAAGTAGTATAGTAGTGCATTAATAGATATACTTGACCGTTTCATAAATTAAAAGTTAACTTAAAACAGAAGCCTTTTATATCAGTGAGTTTTTTGATGGAATGGCCGATGTCCGATATTTAACTTTATCGCTAATATAGGCCAATACCGATACCATGCCGATAATATCGTGCATCCCTAGAATTTACTGTTTAGTTACAGGCTTGAGAATAACATCTGAGAAGCTAAAGATTAGATTTATTATTGTAAAAACAAGCAAGAGTGAGAATCACCATGTGAAAACAGTAAAAACACAAAGAGAAAAGGCCACTTTAGGAAAAAACCTGGAAAGAATGATGGTGTGACTTTTCAAACAAAGATTACCAAGAATGACCTTACTACCTAATTATAATGCTATCTTGTATAAGGTTTAGGGCTACTTATATTACTGTATTTTATCTTATATTTATATTTATTCATTCACATCATTATGCATTTTCTTTTCTGTAATCAGTTCTGTGGCTTTGAAAGAATAACATTGACCTAAAAGTCACTGAATATGTCCAAGTAAAAGCTAAAACCAGAACGAAAAATCTGTCTGAATTCAGGATACAGTGAAGAACAACATACAGAGCAAAGCACACAGATCCTGACCTGGTGTGGGTCTTCTTCTCCTGTCAGAACCAAAACGCTCCGCTGTGGTGCAAAATGGGCTTTTTTTCACTCCTGCGTTCCTTTTTAACCACTCCGTGGCACAACGTTGGTCATTATAAGTACCAACAGGGGGCGACATTTCTTTCACAGGAATAAACCTCTAACAAAGGGAGATAAAAGTAAAAGGGCAAAGATAATGTAGAGAAGGGAAAGCCTCCATGATAAATAACACTTTCTACAGATCAACATGTTTCTAAGAAGAAAAATAAAGAATATATAAATGGAAATGGTAAGTGGAATGGCTAAGCAAAGGCCCTCATGCATGAATATTGGAGGCTGATTAGAAAAAAAAAAACTTATTGTCAAACAAAAACAAAGCAGGAGCAGGGCAAAGGTGTCAACCTCATTCTGGGGTTAGACTAGGAGACAGACGTTTTAATAAATTGTTGTTTTTTTCCTTTAGAAACCAGGAAATCATGCAGGTAGCCACTCCACTAAGGTCACATTAAGTCGGTATGTGGTCCTAAGAAGGCCGCGCTTTATAGCAGCAGCTACGTGCACTCTTGCCCATCTTTCGGACTGTATGGACATATTCTCATTGCATCTTGGTGCAATGATAATAAAGCTTATTCTGATTCTAACATTCATGTTAAATATCTGAACAGTTCTGCAACCTCTTATCTCACTGATCTGCTGCAGCCATACATCACAGCACTCTGAGGTCAGCAGGTCACATGCTTTTATTTGTTCCAGGCGCTTGTTTTAAGCTCAGAGGTGACAGGGTTTTCTCGGTTGTTGGTCCAAAACTGTGGAATGACTTACCACTACATGTCAAGCAGGCTCCCTCTCTCACTGTTTTTAAGTCTCGTTTGAAAACTCATTTTTATTCCCAGGCTTTTGACACTGTGTGAGTTGATTTAACTTGTCTGTACTGTATAATGTTAGCCATTTAGTTCTTATCTTTACCTATTTGGATCATGTATTTTATCCTGTGTCCTTTGCTTGTTTGTTTATGCTGTACAGTGCTTTGGTTGGCCTTGTTGCTGTTTTAAGTGTTTTACAAATAAAGTGGTATGGTAAGTTTTTGAACTATGGGATGAATGCGGAGGACGAAACCAACACATACACAAAGAGAACATGCACGCTTTATCACAAGACAAAACTGCATAGAACCTAAAAAAACGAGACAAGTAGATATTAAAAGACAAGATGTCACCACAGAAAGAAAAAAATTGCAAAACAACAGTAGACCTGACATACACTCACACACAAGAATTGCTTCATGGTGATTTGATAGGTTTGGTTTTTTTTTTTTGTTTTGTTTTTGTGTGTGTGTGTGGGGGGGGGGGTCAAGTCTGTGCCCCCAAGTCCAATGTCTCATACTTGATCTTTGAAGAAGACAAATTATTATTTAATCTGATCAGATTATCAAAGTCATTATTCTCAGCTGAAAAACGTGTTTTCTCATAAAGCCATACAGGTAATCCATCTCCCAAATTCCAGTTCAAGTTTTGTTTAACTGTTTTTACTCAAAACTAAAATCCATCTATCCTATCATCTGTTTTCTTTGCTTTCGTTTCTGTGCAGGGACTAAAATGTGAAGAGAAAAACAAACAAAAAGCCAATGCGTTACAAGAAAAAAATAATAGAATTGAGTTAGACAAAACTAAGAGCAATAAGCACACAGACAAGACTGTGTGATTCTATAGAAAATGAGACGGAGTAAACAGCGTCTCCATTTAAAAGATAATGATGTGCACAATCAGATGGATAATATTCTTTGAAAGTCCAGCCTCATTTCCAGGGTACAAATGTGTGTACTTGCAAGTCCATTTTAACAACGCGGGCAATCAAGAGAACTAACTGAAGAAGTGTCTTCTCAGAGAAAATCACTGAAGGTGAACTGTGTTAGAGTATAACTCAGTTTCTCTACAGCCTCCTACAAGTAAACCCTTCAGCAGGAAGTTATCAAAAGCAATGGGAGAGTAAAAAGAACTTAATTCTTTCAAATACAGCGAAGCCGCATTAACAACACACACGCATGCACACAGAAAAACACTCTCCTGCTTTGGCCAGAGCCAGCTCCCCAGACGACGATGTTCAGCTCAAATCTTAAATATAATTTATTTGTTGGAATTGTGCCAATCATTGATTTGCACTTTCCATTTAAGCATGATTCAGCCTGTGGAAAATTAGTTGCGGGATACTGAAAATTCAGTTAGTAATGCACAGCTGAATTATCGAGCTTTTAGGGAAAAGAAGACTTAAATGGAGAAGAAAAGTGAAGGAATAGCTGCGAGAAGAGACCAGGAGAAGTGGAGACTGACGAAGAAAGGAAAGTGTTTGGGTTAGAAACTGAACGAGTGTTTCGAGTGAGGAAAAGGAGACAAGCTGCTTCGAGACCAAACCAAACGGTTTTTATTCAAAAGCTGTTGTAAAGATGGGATTTGTAGGCCACCTGTCAAACTGCCCCACTGGCTTTGGTAGCATCTTAATATTGGCCACATGTTCTTTCTTCCGTTGACACTCTGTGCTTTGATGGCACTTCACATGAAAACTGAAAAGAAGGGGGTTTTATTATTATTTCTGCCTCCTGTTGTCCAAATTACAAACAGCTACAAGAAGATCAGAGCCACAGCTAAATCTTTTAGTGCAATCAGACATCAAATACGACTGAGTAAAAGTTGTAAGTTGCACAGCGAGGGTGCTGTAGCAGCAGTACAAGCGATGCCCTTCTGGCAACAAACAAATGCTCTTTTTTATGTTAAGATCAATTAATGTGAAAAAGAAAAACAAGTTGGCTGCATTTAAAAGAAGGTAATAAAAATACAATTTAAAACCCAATCAATTATTATCTGTACACTGAAATTCCAAAAGTGAGTGTATACTTTCATTGTACATGTGTAAGTATCTGTTTAAGTACATGTTTATGTTATGTTATGTTTGGGGGCTTTTTTTTTTTTTTTTTATAATTTTTTTTTTCCAATGTCTATTAAAACAGCACAGCTAAAAGGACACAGCTCAGTGTAAATGGGGTCTGTCTTGTTACATTGCAGCTGTTCTTCCATCATGTCTCAAAGGCCTCCAGAACTCATCGAAATGTAACCCAGGGGTTGCCAGTGCGTTGCTTGTGAGCTACAGGTAGCTCGCAAGCACTTTTCAAGTAGCTCCTCTGAGGGTTGATTAAAAAAAATCTGTAGTAGTCAATTTTGATTTGTCACTAGGCAGACATACATTTAGTTACAATCAAATTCATAGATGCCCCAACTCCTTCTTACACTAAAAGAATACTTGACAATTAGTTGTAAAACACTTAAGTTGCTGTAAAACTTGATGAGTCAGTGCTGATGTGAGACAGGCAGCAACCATGACCGCAGCAAGTAGCTATCTCAGTAAGAGAATAAGAAAAGTTCAATTTTTATAAGTGGGAAACTTTTTTCCTCCCACGTTTCCAACAGGTGTTTGTGTCTGATCTGTGGAGCGTATCAGTCTGAAAAAGATGCAACGTGGAGCACCATTTTACCAAAGTTCACAGCAACTTCCTGTGAGACTTTCCTCCAAGGTAGCAATCTTCAAAAATACAAAGTTAAGGAGTTAAAAAACATCCCTTCCCAGACAACCGTCCCTTTCACCATTCCCACAAAGACCGTTAATGTAGCAACAGAAGCTTTGTTTGATAGCCCACAACCTAAACAAGCACAAAAAGCCCTTCTCCGATGGCGAGACTATACCCACATCCCAGCTAGTTGTTCTTACTCGGATGGTTTCTGGTGAATTTTCCATCAAAGAAGATTTTTGAACCCTAGTCCCGTTAAAAATGAAAACCATGTGAGCTGATTTTTTACACTGCTGTGACAACCTAGTTCTGGTTGAAGAATTGGCATCTGTGACAACTGATGGAGTGCCCGCTTTGACAGGCAGTCATTCAGGATTTAGTGAGTGCTGCAGAACGGACCCATACTTAATACATCTTGGCGTTGTTTTGAACCGTTTTAACATTCATGTTTTAATGTTGTTTGAATGTTCTTTCTGCTGACTGTTGTATTGTGAAATTCTTTATCAAAAGGGCTCGTGAAACGGTCGGCAC